AATGATGATTTGTTGAGAAGTACTGTAATTGTGAATAAAGCCCAAAAAACCCTAAAGGATTATTTTGAACTTAATATGAACCAAGGAATGGAAACAAGGGTTATTTGGGAGGCCAGCAAAGCTGTAATGAGAGCGTTTCTGATACAACAAAATTCAATTAGGTGAAAGTCACAAAATGACAGAAAAGATAAAATCATGGAACAACTAAAAGACAAAGAGAAGAAGCTCAGAGGAAACCCAAAGAACTTGCAGATTCAAAAAGAAATTAAAGCTTTACAGGTCCAATATTCACAGTTAGTAAACCAAGAAATAGAATGGAAGTTAAAAAGGATGAGAAAAATAAATTTTGAATCTGCTAATAAATGTGGGAAATTATTAGCCTGGCAACTAAAGAAGAGACAAAAGCAAAGTACTATCACAAACATCGTAACTGAATAAAAATCTGTAGAGAACCCTGCAGACATAAGAAAATGTTTTTACAAGTATTATAAACAACTGTACAGTGGTACCTTGGGTTAAGTACTTAATTTGTTCCGGAGGTCCGTACTTAACCTGAAACTGTTCTTAACCTGAAGCACCACTTTAGCTAATGAGGCCTCCTGCTGCTGCGCCGCCGGAGCCCGATTTCTGTTCTCATCCTGAAGCAAAGTTCTTAACCTGAAGCACTATTTCTGGGTTAGCAGAGTCTGTAACCTGAAGCATTTGTAACCTGAAGCGTATGTAACCTGAGGTACTACTGTATAAAAAGGACAAAGAGGATTTGGTTAAAATTGAGCAATTTATCAAGATTAATGGTTTGCAGCAGATTCCGGAAGATAAAAAGATCCTACTAAAAGGATTAATAACAAGACAGGAAGTGGAACAGGCGATCAATTCAATGCAACTTGGCAAGGCATCAGGACCCGATGGTCTATCAGCAAAATATTACAAGACTCTGAAAGACTGGCTTATTCAACCCCTGCCCCTGGTAGAAGTACTGTATTTTTCGCCCCATAGGATGCACCGCCCTATAGGACGCACCTAGGTTTTTTTGGGGGGGGAATAAAGAAAAAAAATTATTTCCCCCCCCCAGGCACGGGGCTGGTGCGGGGGAAGCCCGAGCTTCCCCTGCCCCCAGCCCCCAGAACAACCTGCTATCTGCAAGCCTAAGGAGCCGCGCCGGTCTCCCCAGGCTTGCGGAGAGCTGCCTGCCTCACTTGCGCGCCCGAGGCTTCAGAATGCAGGCAGCTCTGCGCAACCTTTGGGAGCCCGGTGCGGCTTCCCGCCGGGCTCCCGAGGGTTGCGCAGAGCTGCGCGGAGCCCAGGAGGGCAAGTAGTATTGACACTACAAGACCCAGACCTCCGGTGCAGTTAAAGCACTGGAGCTGATACAAGCGTTTGGACAAGTAACAGGATTTAGACTAAATAAGAGCAAAACCAAAGTATTAGGGAAAATATGGAAAATGGTGAAAGAAAATTATTACAAGAAAAGACGGGCCTAGATTTTGTGAAAAAAATTAAATATTTGGGGGTGAACCTGTCTGGGGAAAATCTGAACTTGTATAATTATGAGAAATTATGGAATGAAATTAAGAGAGATTCAGAGATATGGTCAAGTTTAAAATTGTCATTAATGGGCCGGATTTCAGTGGTTAAGATGAATGTGCTGCCGAAGATGCTCTTTTTGTTTCAAGCCCTCCCAATCATAGATAATGCAAAATGTTTTAAAGATTGGCAGAAAGCTCTATCTAGATTTATCTGGCGGGGGGGACGACCCAGAATTAAATACAAACTGCTTACAGATACTAAAGAAAGAGGCGGATTCTGCCTGCCAGATTTAAAAATTTATTTTGAAGCAGCAGCGCTCTGCTGGATTAAAGAGTGGATGCAATTAGAAGATACAGACGCACTAGATTTGGAGGAGTTCGACAACGTGTTTGGTTGGCATGCATATTTATGGTATGACAAGGTAAAGGCTCATAAAACTTCCAAAAATCGTGTAATTAGAAAATCATTGTATAATGTATGGATAAAATATAAAGACCTTTTAGAAAGAAAGATGCCCAGATGGCTTTCACCAATGGAAGCAAAGGCCCAGAAAAAATTAAATATGGATTTCAAATGGTTGAGATATTCTAATTTGTTACTGGAAGATAATGAAGGATATAAACTAAAACCATTTGATCAAGTTAAGGATAAATTAAATTGGTTACACCATCACCAGATTAATGAATTATACAAATTGAATAAGAAAAATGGTTTTGCGTCTGAAAAATCTAAGTTGGAGGCGGAGTTGTTGGATACTAAAGGTAAAAACTTGTCTAAAATGTACAAATTATTGGTGGAGTGGCATACAAAAGATGAACAAGTTAACTCAGTAATGATAGATTGGGCAAGGGATGTAGGACAGAACATAATGTTTGAGGATTGGGAAAGATTGTGGAAAAAAGGGGTCAAGTTCACTGCATGTGCACTGCTAAAGGAAAATATAATGAAAATGATATTTGACGCCTGTTAAATTAGCAAAGATATATCATAACTGTGATAATTTATGTTGGAAATGTAAAGAAAAGGAAGGTACTTTCTATCACATGTGGTGGACTTGCCCCAAGGTGAAAGACTTCTGGGAAAAGATTTATAATGAATTTAAAAAAATGTTAAAATATACATTTATAAAGAAACCAGAGGCCTTTCTTCTTGGAATAGCAGGTTGGGAAATGCCCAAGAAAGGTGTTAAATTATTTTTGTATGCCAGAACGGCTGCTCGAATTTTACTAGCGAAAAAGTGGAAAATGCAAGAATTACCTACGGTGGAAGAATGGCAGATGAAGATGATGGAGTTTTTGGAGCTAGCTGACTGAACGAGAAGGGTCTGTGACCAGAAGGAGGAGTAGTATCAGGAAGAATGGACAAAATTTTATGATTCTTTAGTTAAACATGTAAAATTAAATTAATTGGAAACAGCTTGCAGATATTTAATTGGTTTAGGATTTTATACAAGTTAAGTGATGAATTAATATGTTTAATTTTAAAATTAAAAGATATAAGGATGTTAATGTTTTAAGTTAAATTTCATAAGAACTTTGATTTGGAAAACCGTTAAAAGAATGTGCATGGAAATTCAACCAAGGGGAAGCGAGGAAGTTACTTAACAATGTTAATAAGTGTAATTTTAATAAGGTTATGATCTATGTTTTTGTTTATATGTCTGTTTTGTTGATAATTTTGTGAAAATTAATAAATTTTTTTTTTTTTAAAAAGATCTATTTGACTGGAGTCCAGAGGACCAAGAATTGAAATAAGGTTTTAGTCTTATCCATCGCTAAACTGCCCTGCATAACTCTCACACAGCAATTACGTTTTTGGAAACATTGAACAGCCTACTTTTTTCCACATTTCTTTCTTTAGCGCTGGGGACAACACACTCCTAGGAGAGGCTGGGTATTAAATTTAGGGCGGCAAAAATCATTGACCATCCTGACTCCCTGACTTGCTGAGCCTCAAATTATGGCCACGATGGGTGAAAAAGAGCCAAGTCCTGCACTTCAGGTAAAGAGCAGCACTTCACAGGTGAAATGTTTCTGTACAATTTCATAACTTGGAAATAGGATTTCTGCACATAAACAGTCGCTTATGGAAGGAAGGGTATTCATAGCTACCAGTCCTGATGACTGCAGCATCTCTGGGGCAGGGAATCATTTTCAGCCTGAGGAAGACACATGCCAGAGGCAAAGTGGGCAGAGCAATAAATGCAGATGTTTCCTTTGTATAATAGACTAGTTTCTTCGCAGCTTTCAATCCTCTGTCCAAGTGAGCAAGAGGCATTACCAGACACTCTGTCCCAGCAAGTCCTTCTGGTGTGCGTTTTTAAAGAGAGCTCTGGAACACCTTCCAACAGTGCTGTTCTATGCATGTTGACTCTGCTTAAGGCGGCTGTCTTACACATAGAGAGGGAAGTGCATTCAGCACCTCGCGGCTTACTTTTAAAACCCTAAAAGTCTTGAGAGTAAAATATTTGCAGGAACCACTTCTTTCCTATAAACCTGTCCCTCCTGCTCTAAGTGGAGCAAATGAGGCTCTCCTGCTGGTTCCTCCTCAGTGTGAGGTGTCTTGTTTGGAAGCCCAGGAAAGGGCCTTTTCAGTGGTGCCTCCTCATATATATATCTTCTTTCACAAATGTGTGTGTCTGGCCCCAGCTCTCCGTAGTTTTAGGCAGCTAGTTAAGATGCATAATTTTTTGCAAGAGTATGGAGGAGATCTGTCTGCCTGTTGCTATTTGTAATCCTGTTTTAGTGCTCTGTTATGTATTTTAAAAGGATTTTGCTATTTTACATATTTTCATCTATTTGTTTGCTGTGGCTTGTGCAAAAGGCAGTGTATAAATTACCTAAATAAATTACTCTAGAGTAAGAGGACACTGTAAAGGAGTAACGCACATTGTAGGTTTTTCTTCCACTCACTTAGCTCCCTCTCGTGCCACAACACATTGTTTTTACCAAGTTAGCGTTCCAAAGATCACTTGCAAAACTTCTTGCCAATAAAACCTAAAAGTATACATGATATCTGTGCCAGAACTGCACCTAGCCACGTGGCACTATTAGGCTTCTGGATACAAATTGTTCTGTTTTGTGTTCTACACAAGGGTGTGTTAAAGAAAAAGTGGGGGGGGGGGAGGAGGAGAGAGAAATTCCTGCTACAAATAGAGGGGGCTTCCTTTTCCAACTGCAAGTCAAAGGCTATCTGTAATAAAATGAAAGGAACACGCTGTCCTGGAGAGAGAGAGAGAGAGAGAGAGAGAGAGAGAGAGAGAGAGAGAGAGATTTATGCGTCGCCTGAACAGAACAACATTCACAGATTGGTTGCATGGAAAAAACACAACTACTTCTGCCCTAAAACAGACTGGGAGCAGGAAGCGAAAAGGAATTAGCCAGACCTGGCCTCTCGTGTTAAGGCTGAGAGCAGTGAAAACAGTGTTTCCTCTTCTCGCTTGCCTTTGTTCAAGAGCATATATATATATATATATACACACACACACACACACACACACACACACACACACACACACGTGTGTGTGTGTGTGTGTGTGTGTATACAGTCATACCTCGGGTTGAATGTGTTTCTGGAGGAGTGCGTTCGAGTTGCGCTCTGCGGCAACCCGGAGTGCGTTACTTCCGGAATTCACCGCTTGCGCATGTGCAGAAGCTCAAAATGACGTCATGCGCATGCACATACGTGCTGTCGCTAGTTACATTTGCTTCTATATGTGAACGGGGCTCCGGAACGGATCCTGTTCACATCTAGAGGTACCACTGTGTGTGTGTGTGTGTGTATATATATATATAGCCCCCATTCTGCTTAGCAGCAAATTCCAGAGGAATGTGACTCTAGCTTGTCATGAGAACAGGGACAGACTTTGAACAAATATGCTCTGGAGAGGAACAGAGCAACTCCAGGGAGCGAATGACCACTCAGGACGAATGACCACTGCCAGAAATCTACAACACTTTCCGAAGCTGAAGCCCGCAGCACATGCTTGCCACGTATGTGCAGTATTCTGCACGAGGGTTTCAGAGCTGCCATTTTGCCCAATCACTGTTCACACAGATGCAGGCTCCTCCTCAGTTTCCAGAAAATCTGCTCTCCAATGTATTGCATATTTTATATAAAGTGGTTTTCTCTAATGCTTCGCTTTTCTGCTTCAGGTCAGCCTGAATACACGGGTCAGAAAGTGGAGGCAAGATGTTGGACTCCCATCTCATCTGCCTGAACTTTGCCACCTCCTAGCTCTGTCAAAGAACTGCTGACGTTCAGAGATTTGCATCTCCATTTAAGACACCCTCCTTTGGGGCTCGTGTTGCCATCGCTGCCCCACTCCACCCTCCAAGGCTCTGACTTGTCTCCAAATGCCCCCTGGGGAAGAGTTGGCGGTGGGTTTCTCGTTTTGCCATGCCAAGAACAGAACAGTAAACAGCAGTCGGCAAAAGGCAGGCTGGTTAGGCGCCAAAACTCCCAACTCTTTCTCCTTTAAAAAAAAGAGAAGTGAGTGAAAGAGAAGGCCTTGCCTTAGAAAGGCCGCCAGCCGGCCCTCGATCATGAGGCTGTTTTCAGAGCTGAACAGAGATCTTATTGACACAGCTCGGGCCCTTCTGCAAGACATTGGACAACAGATTGGATTACACATACTCACACTCGGCCTCATTTTAGACACCGAAAGGGCTCTGGAATACGGTAGCCAAACCCTGCAGGAGTCAAGTATGTGTGGTTAACCGGGGGGGGGGGGGGGGGACTCTGCTAAGCCCCAAAACCATGCTTCTCCAAGAGACTCACCAAAAGCAGCAAAGGATGCTTTATTGCAAGGAAACACTTCAGGTGTTACTGCAGAACACGTTGCTTCTCAACATGAGTGACGTGTCGCCAAACTGTACTGGCACATCACAGGGCAGCCACAGCAGAGTTTGCGCTGACCACTGACCCAAACCTGCCACTTGTTGTACCTTGTTTGGCTGACTCGCTGGGAAATGAGACCTTGGCGTTTCTGCCAAACCATGTTTTCTTTAAAAAATTGGCTAATTTTTAAAAGCATGATGAGAGTAAGTTGAGGCGGAATTCCTGATGTGTCAAACATGTTGCACATACTTGCCCTGAAAAAAATAATCAATATATTGTGAATATGTATAGCCAAACAATATATTTTTTGTTTCAAAGCACGGAGGAGCAAACTGCTTAAGACATCAGGAATGGGTGATTTCCCCCTTGCTTGCACCAGAGAGAAGACAGGAAATGCCCAATAAGACTTTACCCTAAAAACCTGGCTGGGAAATCTTGCTCATTTATTTTCCTTATCAATTTAATGAACTGGCCGTGGCTGCCACACGGCGCTGGGAGACAGGGCAGGCTGGGAACAGGTGCCTCTCCGAAGGTCACACAGAAGCTGCCAACATTCTTCCTACTCCCACATTAAGCAATAAGCCCTCAATGGTGCTTCTAACCCAGCAATGCGCCCCCGTGGCCGCACAACAAAAACAGAGGATTACTTAGATATCTCAAGTTACCACATAACTTGCCTTATCTGGGCAATGTAAGCCAAACAAAGATTAAAAAACAAAATACTGGTAATACAATCAAATCCAGCACTGACCTCCATACACCGTAAAATGGTGTGTAAAATCTAACACCAACCACAGTTAAATGTAGGATGAGCAGAAACAAACCTACTGGGGCTTAAGAGCAGGCATCTATTATAAAAGCAGAGACTAACAAGTATATTAAAAATAATGCCAATCATCTTAATGGTTTCTAAAATGTGTTGCAATGACGTGAAAAGGCCTGGCAGAATAAAACAAGTCTTTGCCTGGTGGCAAAAGGACATTTAACGCAACCAGGAGTCGGAACTAAACGGCAAAAAATAAAAGGGGGGAATGAAAGAGGAGAGCTTTCCTGTGTGCTGACGGCTGTGCCACTGAAGACAACACCTTCATGGCGTGGGACTTAGTGAGCTGACCTCTACCGAGTCAGACCTTTGGTCCATGTAGCTCAGCACTGTCCACACTGACGACTGCCCAGAGTTTCAGGCAGGTATATGTCCCAGGAGATGCTGCAGAGGAATGAACCTGGGACCTTCTGCATGCCAAGCAGGTGCTCTGTGGCTGAGCTATGGCCCCTCCCCATTTAAGTTTCTTGAACATCAACCAAATCAGGAGTTTTGTGGGGATGTTCCCTGTCAGGAGGCATAACACCGAGTGCCAGATCCCACTTCTCTTAGGAAGACAAGCTGGGCTGTCACTGTTAAAGGACCTGGAGTTCCAAAAGACAACCAGCTGAGAAACATGAACTCAATGTTCACCCATAAGTGATACAAGGAACTGCACATGGTTTTACCCAGTACAGTGGTACCTCAGGTTACAAACACCTTGGGTTACAAATACTTCTGGTTACAGACTCCGCTAACCCAGAAATATTACCTCGGGTTAAGAACTTTGCTTCAGGATGAGAACAGAAAAATCGCGCAGCAGTGGTGCAGCGGCAGCAGGAGGCCCCATTAGCTAAAGTGGTGCTTCAGGTTAAGAACAGCTTCAGGTTAAGAACGGACCTCTGGAACGAATTAAGTACTTAGCCCGAGGTACCATTGTATTCCTCATTCTTCAGGACCCACCTTTGACCCAATTTTTTAAAACCAAAGATTCCTACTGTTGTGGCCCAACTTGAATCAGGATGCAACCCGGCCGTGAGTCCTGATCCACCAGTTGAAGACTGATGGTTTAATACACATTTCTAGAAGACTGCTTTCAATGTGAGGAGCAAATATAAAAAACGAAGTCCCCACTCATAGAAAACCAGAGAGCAAGGAGAAGGTTCCTGTGCAAATCCTTTCACCTGATATGCTACCTTTCTACATTCAAAGATTTGTTTTTGAAGTGAATGCCTCTTCGAAGACAATGGCGACTATGAGGAGAATGTTTATTATCTAGAAATAGAGCAAGCATGCTCCTTCTAATGCCATATATATTCCCCACACAGATTTTACACTTTAATTAATGTATTAAATGGATCTTCTAAAAAAAAATAAAAAATCAGGCTTCAGCCTTGTAAAATAATCTTCACCCTCAGCTTGTGAACATCTCAGGAGAATCAGGATAGCCAGCGGCCAGGGTCAGAATGCTTTTGGGCAAGTCAGATCCTTGGCCCAGTCCAGCAGAGCCCTCCTCATGAGCAAGAGAATTTGGACAGGGCAAGACTGTACACAAATGATGGATACAGCATCTTTCCACGTTGCCTTTTGGCCAGGAAGACTTAGCTGCAATGACTACCCTGAGACACACTTGGACGCTGCTCCAAATACTGACTCTGATGCACACCGTGCCTGTCTGGATGTAAGGCACCCACAGGCACCCGGGAGTTCTGAAACTGCAGAGTAAGGGCAGCTGAAGAAGAGAAGCTGAGCTTTGAATGCCTCAACCCAAACCAGCCACTTCGCCAGACAAATTCTGCCCTCAGGAAGAAGCCACTCAGCTACTGATCTCAGCGGTGCTGGTCAGCAGAAAACAAAAACCGGTGCAATTTTGAGAGCCATCTGAGTGGTAACTATGGTATAGTATTGTAAATAATAATACAGTGGAGGATAGTTTCTATTTGTTATTATGGTTAAGTATTTTTGTGTTTTCATATTGCAAACCGCCCCAAATGGAGGGCAGTACAGAAAATAAAATAAAATAATGGTAATAATAATAATACTGTATTTATCAGAACAGAAACTTCCCACAACTTCCATATAATGCTCAGGTGGTTAAGTTCATGTGGTGGCTACCCATCTTCTGCTTAGTCTATTTTCAAACAACCCCCCACCCCACAATGCCATGCAAACTAACCAGTTTGACCAGTGAGGTGAGGTCACAAAGTGAAGTCAGTAAGAGCAGCACTGGCTGCCCCTGCTCCCAATGGGCAAAGCTTTTTGCCCCATTGCAGTGTCCCTAAGCTGAACCATTGCCAAACTCAGGGAGGCCTGCATGCATTTCACAGGATGCCAAAGTACTGTAGCTCCCCCCCAACAGACCCTCCACGCCCTGCTACTGTCTGGAGAAGAAAGCTGCGGTTTACATCCCCCTAATTGTCTTCATTAGATTGATATTCAAAGACATACCATACTCTCACTGTTGCCTCTTTCAGGACGTTGTATGTTGCTCTCTTATTCCACAGCAGCTGACACTGTCCCATTACCAGTGTTTCCCTTGAGACGAGGATGAGGAATCTGTGGAGCTCTGGGCGCTAAAGGTAAAGGAACCCCTGACAATTAGGTCCAGTCGTGGCCAACTCTGGGGTTGCGGCGCTCATCTCGCTTTATTGGTCGAGGGAGCCGGCGTACAGCTTCCAGTTCATGTGGCCAGCATGACTGAGCCGCTTCTGGCGAACCAGAGCAGCGCATGGAAATGCCGTTTACCTTCCCGCCGGAGCGGTACCTATTTATCTACTTGCACTTTGATGTGCTTTCGAACTGCTAGGTTGGCAGGAGCAGGGACAAAGAACGGGAGCTCACCCCGTTGCGGGGATTCGAACTGCTGACCTTCTGATTGGCAAGTCCTAGGTTCTGTGGTTTA